AGAATCAGCTAAAGTCTTGCCAAATGTTGCTTTTAATAAGATATTGTTGAGCTGCTGGTCCATTTGGGAGGGAAAGTGGACGTCAGAATCGTCCGTAGGCTGATTACTAGGCAATGTAGCATTGGCTAAAGTGACTGGAAAAATTGCCAGCTGCACAAGTGGTAAATCGGATCATGAATTACCGGTGATCCAAGTACCCCCGTGAGTATCCTTTAATATAATTCCCAAAAAGGTCATTAGTGCACTGTGATTTCGGTAGCCCATTATGCACAATACTACGGTGATAACAATCACCTTTGGAAAAGTGTTGAAGTTACCAAAATACCAAGAATACGAAGACCGTCCGGACTATTACCACCAGTATGAATATCCATGTAAGTGGTGATGTTACAGCAACGTTTCCACTTCAGGCCCAGCTACGCCAGGCCCTTCGATCTTGGGCTGCATAATTCCAGTCAGTGCTCGATGCTTGTTCAAAGTATGTGCATCATCTCTTCAGAACTCGTCCGAATGGTCGTTTATTTTCTCGCGAGTATCACTCATTAATGCACAATATCCACTGATTGTTAGTAAAAAAATAGGGAAAGTCCAGTAATGCAGACGGGCTTTTATAAGGCAATTTCCACTCACAGCACAATGAGGGATTATTAGTTCTGTGAAAAAGAGATGGATTTAACCTGGATTAATTCAGCTATTTGCTTCACTCGTTTCTTAACATAATCCACAACATTAACATCGCGTGGCCGTTCGCATTCCCCACTCACATTTTCATCCATCGCTGAACAATGAGAGTTGTCGGTTCACTGAGGAAAAGAGATCGGTATCACTATAATACACCACTATAATATGTCGAAATCACTATAACATATCAAGGTCTTCGCACAATCAACACGAACAAAAACATAACACAGCTAATCCTGACTTCCAAGCCTGGCGCAGAATTGACCCGGCAAGAATTTCTCTCAAGCCCATGAAAAATTCCACCAGGAAAAGTACCCTTCAAATCATATTTTCAATACTTTTCAATCTCAGTATCATCATTTACCGGGCCGTAGAAATTTTAGAATATGAAGGTAAGGAAACTGTGCGTCGAAAAGCTATGAAAAGCATCCGAAATCTATGAATTACTTCTATGCTATGGTCCAACGACGAGTTTTTTTCCGACACTAAGTTGGATAAAGCTAAAATTCTTCCCATCGGCTTCTTACGTTGCTCTCAAATGTGTTAAACAGTAAAACTAACAAAAATATGAAAAACAATCCCTTCCCTCTATGTTACTCTTAAAAACCAAGTTTTTTTCAATTATATAGATAGTGTTTTTCAGAAAATGATTTTGATCAATGCCGTGGCGCCTTGTGGTCAATGTGTTATTGACAAACCTGACACTTTTTTTTTTTCACTTCTCAAACTCCAGTAATCCCGTTACATTATCTTACTTTTTTTTTGCCGAAAAAAAAATTGCTTTTTCTTGTTTGCTGTTACTCGCATATTCATCAGGTCCCGTAAATGTTTCATTTATGGTACTCTCGCGCACAGAATATGCTGAATAAATATTATAAAAAAATAGGGTTCTATGTTAACGAATGACTACAGTGAATTCGAAGAATCATCCTACCTCATTTCAACTCGATTTCCTACCTCAAACCGGGATAGCATCATTCAATAAGTACCCAAAACTGGAAGAAATAAGAACGTACGATTAAAA